ACACCACTTGGCAGAGCCAGCTACATGACACCCAATGGTCTTTTTTAGCTGTCTGTAAAAGGTGGCATTCTGAACACCACTGTAAGAGGATTATGCTCCCCACAGACCATGAATGTAAGGATCATTTTCCCAATGACCCCCAATGAAATGTTTTTAGCTGGGGTTCTCCTGGAACTGAACATTACTTCAAGGGTTCCTTTGGATAAAAAAGTCGAGAAAGACTGTTCTAGAATGAAAAGTGCCAGTGTGTTTTTTTTGTCCTATCAATCCAAAAGTGAACCTTGAGCTTTTGCCCATCAAGGCACTCCAAGGACGGGGAACTTATATTTCTGCAAAGCCTTCCTAGCAAGCAAACCTGTTATTATACAAAGAATCTAACATTAGCGAGTAAGAATTTTCCTTGTCAGTGCCCTTCTTCTCTTTTGCCATGTTTCACTTATTTCCACATAAAATGCTAAAATAAGCGTAAAGGTGTCAATCTAATAATGTTTTACATACACATACTAGGGCCAATTTGAGAAGGAGCCAATTATCCCACCAGTAAGCCTTTGGAGTGTGGTAGGAAGCCAGAATAACCAATGGAAACCCATGCAAGCACAGGGAGAACATGACAACTCCATGCAGACAGTACCCTGACCAGTATATGAAACAGGGACCATGGGGCCACAAGGCAAAAGTGCTTTTATGAATACTAAGTTTAAAATCCTAAAAGCTATCTATTAAAAATGATTTATATTTTTCCATTAAAGTTAATTAAAGTTGAACAGATAATTAGATTGTGTCGTTAGTCATTTGTCATCTTAAAAAAAAAAAAAAATCTTTATCTCAGCAATGGCACTGTAAATGGGTAGATAGCGATGTTATGAATTTCGCCATGTTTCCTTGTAGCTGCGCATGGATAATTACAGACATATTGTATCCCAGAAGAGCCTCAACCAACCCTCAATATAATATAATAAGCGCACAGTCTAAATCTTTCATCATTGTTGAGTTGGTGCTTTGCCATGACAACAGATAAGTGATCTGTCGCCATGGTAATGGCTTGCATGTCTGGGCCGCGCAAGGTAAGGTTTAATGATTGCTAATTCCTAGATTAAGCTTGCAAATGAACCATCCTGAGACAAGTGGCAGAAATTGCAGGAGTTGGTTCAGTCGGAGCGTGGTAGAAAGGGAATCTGCAATTATGATATGGTTCAAATGGCTGCGGAGTTCTCCAATTTCAAGTACAGGCAAGCCTCTTTATGTACATGGCTGTAGAGAGTCTAGTCTGTAAGGAAACTGGAGTGTAGAACATTTCTTTTCTTGGGGGGGGGGGGGATGTGAATGGGCCCTACATTTACCTTTACTATTTTAGTCTTCGGCCCTTTTCCTTCCTAAATCCCATTTAGCCCTAGTTTTTTGTGTCTGCAATACGTTGGTTCTGCACAGTATACCTCTTATTATTTGTAGTCTATCGTAGTGTTATATACACCTTTTTTTTCTTCAGAAAAGATAGGGTTTTAATTAAAGGATAAATTCACCTTTTGACCAAAAACAATAAATGCAAATTTTTTTGCATGGAAAAAAAATGCGCATTTATGATTTTTGTCTACAGGAGCCTGGAAAGCATTGCACCAGCGATCATCAGATCGATGGTGCCATACAGGTCTCCTGCAGACCTGTCAGTATATCTGCTTGCCTGTACGGGATGTGTGAACAAGCAGATATACTGACAGGTAAAATAAATGAGCTACCACAAAGCGTCACAGCACCATGGTAGTTCATTGAGCACTATGGGCAGCACAGTGGTTAAATAGTTAGCACTTCCGCCTTGCAGTACTAGGGTCATTGGTTCGAATCTCAGCCATGGCACCACCTGCCTGGAGTTTGCATGTTCTCCCTATGCCTGCGTGGGTTTCCTCCGGGTACTCCGGTTTCCTCCCACACTCCAAAGGCATGCTGGTAGGTTAATTGGCTCCCTGTCTAAATTGTCCCTAGTATGTGTATGTATGAATGTGAGTTAGGGACCTTAGATTGTACACCCTTGAGGGTTAGGGACTGATGTGAATGTACAATATATATGTAAAGTGCTGCGTAAATTGACGGCGCTATATAAGTACCTGAAATAAATAAACTACAAGCTGACAGTTGCAAAGACTGCCGGGGCTTGTAATTCATTCATTCACAGAACACAGTGACTGAATGACGCGGTCTGAGTAACATGTTACGAAAGGTGAACTTATCCTTTAGGCTAGGTTTACACTAATGTGGTATGGTACATCGCATGTGATTCGCACAGGAACCTCACCACATTCCTGTGCAAATCACATGTGATTTGTGTGCGGTGTGATTGGAGCCATACATTATGTATGGCCCATATTGCACCGCACCCGCACCAAAAAAGTGCAGGACCCTTTTTTTGGTCCGCACTAGAATTGGATCGCACAGGTATTCACACCTATGAGATCTGATTCTGCACATCGCAACGCGTTTTGCGAACCGATTTTGGGGTGTTGTTAACATACACACCCGTGTCAGTTCGCATGAATGGGGTGCGATTCCGATGCGGTACGGAATTCACACAGAGAACGCTGTGACTTCCGCACTGCATCAGTGTGCATTCAGCCTTAACCCCTTGTCGTCGGCACCTCCCGGCCCTTTAAGGGTTTCAGAAGCCGGGACGGGACAGGGTTTTAGGGACATGTGACCGCCGTGATTCGCTGTCACGGCAGTCAAATGATCGGGAAAGGTCCCAATTGAAAGAGGAGATCGGGACCTTTCCGTGAGTAACGGACATGTGAGCTGGGAGCTCGCAGGGCGAGCGCTCTCAGTACATATGTTTTTCTTAATTACACGCAAATGTGTGGCCGTTCGGCATCAAGGCCCAGATGCCGGGAAGTAACACATTTGCGTGCGTCCGGCACCAAGAGGTTAAGTAGCAAATCTGGATACATAGGGGAAAATGTATTAAACCTGGAACACTCAGAATCTGGTGCAGCTGTGCATGGCAGCCAATCAGCTTCTAATTTCTGCTTGTTCACCTAAACTTTGACACTGAAACCTGGAAACTGATTGGTTTCTAAGCAGAGCTGCAGTAGATTTTGCATGCTCCAGTTGCAGTAAATCACCCCCCCCCCCCCAATATATATAATCTGGAAGAAAGAAGGTAAAGGGGAGACAATGGGGTTGATTTACCAAAGGCAACTAGAATGTGCACTCTGCAAGTGCAGTTGCTCCAGAGCTTAGCTAATGAGCAGAAGCTCTTCTGACTTCCATCATCCAATCATCTGCTAGCGAAAATGCTTTTTTTTTTATTTTCCTTGTATGTGATTTGGTTTTCTTGGCAAAGGGAAGCTTTACCTCATTTACAAAGCTCTGGAGCAACTGCACTTACAGAGTGCAACTGCACTTTGCAAAGTGCACAGTTTATTTGCCTTTAGTAAATCAACCCCATAATTTAAACCTTTAACCTCCCTGGAGGTATTCCCGAGTGTAGCTCGGGGTAAAGTTTCAGCACCACAAGCGGTTACCCCGAGCTACACTTGGGCTTACCATGCGGTTCTGCTCCGGGATCTGTTCTTCACTTACCTTGTCCTGCACTCCCGCGATGTCCCTCCTGCAGTGTCCCCGGCAATGTAATCCGGCGGATGCCGGCATCTGTCATCTGGGTTCCGTCCCTTGCGACGTCGGGACGTACGGGGGACGGAACTGGCGGGAAATTTGAAAATGACAAAAAGTGACATTCACTAAATACACTAAAATCACATAGTATTCCATTCCTGTATCAAACCATTTCACATACATTTTGTCCCGAGTGCTTTGTCCTGCGCCCTGCCTGCATTTTTACTGTTCTTTCTGCCTGGAAACTGAGAAACATCCATGGCGTCCAAAAAGCATCCCTTTAGGTCAAAAGCGGTTTTAGACCGGCTAGAGAACAGCGATAGTAAATCAGAACCACTTGCAGAATTGAGTGATAATGATTCGTGGGGGAAATTCGTCATCAGACACTGAAAACGATTTTGCGACTTTGCTCAGTGATGTGCGAACTTGGCGCTGTATTTCAAATTTCAGTGTTTTGTTTGATTATATTATTGAATTAAATTTATTATTATTATATTATTTTTTTTAATGATCATTTATTAAATTATAATTTAGGATTTCGTGTTTCAAATTTTATCACATCCAGGATGTTTACTAGACTCTTGTTCGGACAGATTTCAGTGAGTTATTCCTAAAAATTACAGGTCTACATTAAAAAAAAAAACATATTTCCATGCAAAAAAATGTACCGCTTTGAGCACAGAAATATGGACATAATCAGACCACTAGGGAGGCTAAATACATGAAGGGTGTGAAGAAGGGCAGAATGTTCATTATGAAGCTCAAGAACACGCAACGTGATCTCAAACTCATTTTAGAAAGTATTACTTTATGGAAAGAGTAGTTAATGCTTGGAACAGACTTCCGGCAGAGGTAGTAAGTCAGTCAGCTGTAAGCAGATTTAAAGTGGTTGTAAAGTCTGTTTTTTAATTTTACCAACTAATATGCTTCTAATAAACCTCACCTGTAGGTAAAATCAATATCTCCTAAATGTGCGCCGTTTAGGAGATATTCTCTTTTCATTTAATCCGGTGCATGTGCTCTGAAGGAACGGCATACCCATAGTTACATAGTTAGTCCGGCTGAAAAAAGACAAAAGTCCATCCAGTTCAACCATAGAAAAAAAAAAAAGTTATAATCCTACACCCACAGTTGACCCAGCCGAAGGCAAAAAAAAAACTCCCAGCAAAGCATGGTCCAATTTGTACCTGCTGGGAAAATAAAATTCCTTCCTGATCCCCCGAGAGGCAATCGGATATTCCCTGGATCAACTTTACCTATAAATGTTAGTACCCATGCCATTCCTTCAGAGTTGTGTGCCATGGCCCAGGACTTCCAAGCATGCATGGGAGTGATGTCATCATGGCCAGGCCTGTCAGAATTCCAGAGCTCATGAACCCAAAAGAAAGACAGGTAAAGATGGAAGCCTCTACAGTGGTGACAACGCCAGGGGCAGACTGACCATTTGGAAACTTGGGCACTGCCCGAGGGCCTGGGGTCAGTAGGGGACCCCATGAGATGCCCCTGGTACCTTTTTCATAGGCTTTTTTGAGTTTGGGCAAGGGCACAGGGGCCCCATGATCCCCTATTGCCCGGGGGCCCCGAGTTGTCAGTTCGCCCCTGCACAACGCACTGCTGGAGAGCTTCATTTTAAGGTAAGTTTTACATAAAGTGCTAGTATGTGATGAATACTAGCACATTATGATATTACCTTGCAGGGGACTTTTTTTTTGTCTGATTAAAGGTTAAAAGGAAAAAAAAGAAAAAAAAAAGGGGGGGGGGGGGGGGACTTGATGGACCACTTGGTCTTTTTCTCTGTCATTCCTCTATGTTTCCATGTTTCTAAAAATACAGTATAGTGAGTCTGAAAGCTCTTATTAGCTGGTGTTTATTGCTGTAATTATCTTTAAAGGGGAATCGTTATCAGGCATGATATACCCTCATTGGATTGTTAGATGATAAGTAGTAGCTGTGTGCAGAATGAGACAGGTGTTAAGTGGCAGCGCTGGATCTGAGCTGCTGGCGGCCTGGCAGGACCATTCCCTGCTCATTCTGGATCTGGGAACGCAGAGTGAACAGACTGACTCTAAGAATTGTTTCGCGGTGAGCAATTTCTTTATCACTAGATGCTAACTCTGCAGTAATAATGGCTACTAAACATAAATTATAAGTTGTATAAAAAAGGTCCTAATAACATTCCTGCATAAATATGCAAATGTTTTTGGAGCATCCCGGGACTGAATAATTTTAAAGGAAACCCATCACAAAACTCTACATACACGTAACCCCTGAAGACAGACGTCTAGAGGCATTGCTGCAGGACCGTTATTTTGATCCTGATTTCACTACGCAGGGCTGCTTTGGGCAACTTTGTCAAACACATAGAAAAAGCAATCTGTATTATTATTATTATTATTATACAGTATTTATAAAGCGCCAATAGTTCGCTCAGCGCTGTACATTACAGAGGGGAACAGAACATGTGACAGAACAATACCAATACAATGCAAAACATGAGGGGATCGAGGGCCCTGCTCCTTGGAGCTTACAATCTAGGAGGGAGGGGATGGTGGCACAGGAGGAGATAGCTGTGGGGGATGGAGTGGTAGGAAGAGTGGAGGAGGTCGGCAAGTTAGCAGGGGGTGGGGTAGGCTTCCCTGAAGAGATGGGTTTTCAGGGTGTGCCTAAAGGAGAGGAGAGTAGGTGATAATCTGATGGGTTGGGGCAGGGAGTTCCAGAGGATGGGTGACACCCTGGAGAAGTCCTGGAGGCGGGCATGGAGGAGGAGACCAGGGAACTATAGAGAAGGAGGTCTTGTGAGGAGCGGAGTGTGCGTGTTGGGCGGTACTTGGATATTAGGTCAGTGATGTAGTTCGGAGCAGTATGGTGGACAGCTTTGTACGTCAGTGTTAGGATTTTGAATTTGATCCGTTGCGCAATCGGAAGCCAGTGGAGGGATTGGCAGAGGGGGGTGGCGGAGACGGAGCGGTTTCGAAAGGTGAATGAGTCTGGCAGCCATATTCAGGATGGACTGAAGCGGGGATAGCCAGCGGCGAGGCAGGCCAGTGAGGAGGGAGTTGCAGTAGTCGAGTCGTGATATGATGAGGGAGTGGATGAGCTGTTTAGTGGTTTCTGGAGTTAGGAACGTGCGGATTTTGGCGATGTTGCGGAGGTGGAGTCTGCACGAGTTTGTTAAAGATTGGACTTATTATGTCCTATTGTGAATGAATCCGGTTGGGATTGAGCCCTAAAGTTGGGTGACTTATCTTGAACACAAATTTAGCCAGTGAAGCCAAAGCTACCGACATGCTTTATACAGGTCAGCTAAGTAGTGAAGCTGGGGTTAGAATGACAGCTTTGGAACATGCAACTTTAACCACTTAAAACTCCCATGGAGTGCGCACAGGCAGGGAATGCGGGGGCTGTTTATAAAACGGCGACCTGCTTCGGCACTGCTCCCGTCTGGCCGTTTATGTACATGTACTGCCGGATGGGAGCAGTGCCAAACCAGGTTGCCGTTTCTAAACAGCCCTCGCATTCCTTGCCTGTGTGCGCTCCCTGGGAGCACGCGGCACCCACGATCCGGTGGACACAGCAGAACACCGATCGCTGTACGGGACCTCTGTGTGAAGTCCCAATCATGTGATTACTGATTGGCCAATCAGTGATCACATGAATAATAGTAAGCAAGATGTCACTTCTGACATTATTGCTTACTACTAGTGAAATCTGTGAATGATCACAGAGGTCACATGGTACAAGGCTATTCACAGCAGCCTTATACCATGTGGCAAGCTGTGATCAATCACAGCTCTCACAGTATTTCTCAATAGCTGCAGGAATGCAGCCAGAGAGGAGAAATGATTGCTTTTACTTTTATGGGTGTAAAAGCAATCAGTGTAGAAAAAGAAAAAAAAAATCTTCATCACCCCCCACAAGTAGTACAGTGTCACTATGGTGACACTGTACTGCTTGGGTGACAGTATGTTAACAAAAAAAAGAAAAAAAATAATAATATATAAAAAAAATAAAAATGTAAAAATAAATTTTGAAAAATTATCATTTTTGGTTATAAACTAATTTGGGTTATTTTTTTTTTTAGATGAATACATTTTGGCCAAGATTTATGAAGAAAGATTATTTTATTTCCAAAATTTTATAAGAAAAACACTTTTTTTTTCAAAATGTTTGGACTTTTTCATTTATATAGCAAAAAAATAAAAATACCAGCAAAATTAAGTTTTATCTGTGTCAAAAAAATGCTAAAAAATTCATAAGGGTAGGGTGTTGCATGACCGCGCAATTGCCATTTAAAGTGTGATAGCTCTGAAAGCTGAAAATTGGCCTGGGCAGGAAGGGGGTGAAAGTGTCCGGACTGGAAGTGTGTTTAACCATTTGCCGCCCGCCCTATGGCCAAAGGGCGGGCGGCAAATGTCATCAGCGTTCCGGGTGGATGCCATATGGCGTCCTCCCGCACATGCGCAGATTGCGCTCCTGCAGAGCGGTGCAGCGGTGCGATCTGTCACCGGCCGTGTACCTCGGACATGGCCGATGACAGATCTGAGTACCGGCCCCCGTTGCCGGTACCATGTAACCTGCTGTGACCAATCACAGCAGGTCACATGACAGTTGTATACAATGGATGGCTTCATTCATGCCATCCATTGTATACTAGTGTCTAGCTGTGAATGGTCACAGCTAATCACATGCACATGTCATGTGATTAGCTGTGGCCAAATTACAGCTAAGCACAAAAAAAAAAACAAAACAAAAAAAAAACCCCTGAATGAATCGATGTCATTCAGGTAAATGCTTGCTTATAGCAAAGTAATTCTTTGCTATAAGCAAATTGTGTAAAAAAAAAAATACTGATCACTTCCCCAAAGTAGTACAATGTTACTATGGTAACATTGTACTACTTTGGTCATAGTGACATATGAAAAAAAAATCTTAAAAAAAAAAAAAAATTTAATAAAAAATAATAATAAAAAAAAAAATATATATATATATATATTTTTTTTTCATACTGTCACCAGTCAGTGTCCCTGATCACCACCATGCCAGTTATATGATGACGCTGTACTGCACTGGTGACAGTATGTAAAAAAAAATAGCGAAACTAATTTTTTAAATTTTTTCATTTTCCGAAAAATTTATGACAAAAAAAATACAACTTCAAAAAACTCGCCATTCGAAGTACGTTGGACTGTCTACTTTGCAAAAAGGGGTCATTTGGGGGATATCTGTACTGTCCTGACATTCTTGGACCTCAAGAAATTAGATTGGCCGTCAGTACTTCAGGATTGATCAATATTCAGATCTATACCATAGTTTGTGAACTCTATAACTTTCCTACAAACTAAATAATACATCCTAATTTGGGTTATTTTCACCAAAGACATGTAGCAGAATACATCTCGGCCTAAATTTATGAAGAACAAATATTTATTTGCAAACTTTTATAACTGAAACAAAGAAAAACTTTTTTTTTTCGAAATGTTCAGTCTTTTTTTGTTAATTTAGCAAAAGATAAAAACCCCAGCAATGATTAAATACCACCAAAAGAAAGCTCTAATTGTGTGAAGAAAATGATAAAATGTTTGTTTGGGTACAATGTTGTATTACCGTGCAATTGTCATTCAAAGTGTGAGAGCGCTGAAACCTGAAAACTGGCCTGGGCAGGAAGGTGTAAAATTGCCGGATTGAAATGGTTAAATACAACTCAGTAATGATAGCTTACCGTGACCACTGGTTTTAAAATAGGAATAGTTACAGGGTGCTTTCAGAACATGCATAGTTGGGCTATCACTGAAATAATTACATTAAAGAAGTTTTGTCACAACTTTTACATTTTCTTACTTTTTATCTAATAATGTGATTGTTTATTTCCCCACAAAGCTGCTTTATTGTTCACATCGTCTCCTTTCCAAAGGTGAGGGTCGCTGCTCAGGCAGACCCTCTGGTTTTCCTTCAGTCTCCCAAGGATCTTCAGCCAATGCATTGGTCACATAATTTGACACATTTTCTTGGCATGGTTGAGTAGCTCTACAAAACACCCCAAAAATATGATCACAAGGCAGCTATTGTTTTCACAACAACATAGAAACCAGACTTTGAATGCCTTGGTACATGCTTATAATATGATACAAAGACATATTCTATGTTGACGTTTATGTGAGTCACGCTTTACTAGAGCCTTTTTCAAACTTTTTAAATGGAGGAACCCTTGAAATAATTTTTGGTGTCTCATGGAACCCCTGCTAATAGTTATTATAGTTACAAATCATGGGAAGTTAGTATGATCAATAAGTTGAGATTTGAGAAACAAAAATAAACAAATAAGGATTGTGGTGTAATTATCATATTTATAACCCAGTGGTGCTTCATACAATAAAATCATTTTCAGGGATTTTAGGCCTCGTGCACACGGGACGTTTTTTTTTACAGTGGCTGTTTTTGGCTTCTGGCGTTTTTTTTCTACAGCCAGAAAACTCCCCAGCATGTTATCCGATGTGTTCATGCACACATAGGCTTTAATCAGCGTTTTTTGGCAGGAGTGTTTTCTGGCTGAAAAAAAAAAACCAGAACTAGTGGGTTTCAAGAGGAGTTTTTTGACTGTAAAAATGCCCTAATGCTGATAAAAGCTGAAAAAACGCTAAAAAAACATTGCTATC